CCTTACTATACACACTACCCTAAGCATATATATATCATTGAGTTGCTACTTGTCCAAAGAAAACAGTGATTGGGTGAAAGTGTCCAAAATCTGGGCCATTTAGGAGTTTCGTTATACATCATCCTAGACTTTTCTTTTTCAGTGGAGGTTAAAGGGCTTGAAAAGAGCTTTTCAACGATATGCTACACAACCATGTAGATCTGACAGTTGAGGAGTGGCTGAGCTTCAAAAATCGAAAATTTTTGGGTTTTGGGTAGAAAAATACAAATATTTTTTTCTGACCGCCCAATGTAGGGGCAAACTTGGATTCAAGTTTGAAGTCAAAAAAAGTTTTTGAAAATTTCGCCCTCATTGACCCTCTGGACTTGTAAAAATTTCATCAAATTCAATAATCAATAATGTACAACTTTCGTTCTATTTTATTGTTATACTATTATCTATAACTTACTTAAAACCTACTTGAGGGAATACAATAACATGTGGCCTAACACAGACATTGGTTTGTCATACTTAAGGTTCATCCTTAAGTACCAATTAAGCTTTGGCCAAGTTAATATTGAATTAGCTTGCCTAGGGTGTGGCCAAGATACCATTTAATTAGTTTAGCCAAGGTGTGGTCAAGTAATAATTCAATTAGCCTTCCTAAATGTTGAACCTTGTAACATCCTGTTACTAAAGATAAATGTAAGCTAGACAGTTTGACAGTTGTGAAGTGATGATTGGACACTAGAGAATAGTCTTCAAGTATATAACTCCTCACTGCTTCACTCCAATTGGCTAACCTCAACCTGGGAGGATCAACTGGAACAAACACCCACTGGGATCCTTCTACTTCCTCAACATTGTTCACTGGCTGTTTCCAATATCAGATTCCTTTCTTCTAATGGCACTAGTACTTTGGTTCCAGGGCCACCAATACCATCAATGAATTTGTCTTGGTAAGGGATGTCTAGAATGGAATACCCTGGGCAAGAATAGTGACCAGCAAATTTTATACAGCTAACTTGGTTACCAATTTTCTTCCATGGTGATTGTTGTCCAATAGTGAAATTATTTTTAAGGTTTCTTAAGACAATTATAGCTTCTTCTATTTCACAGTATGACTGCCCTGGTAGACAGTCTTCTAGGTAGTCAAGATTGGTAGTAATTTTCATATTTGGAGGTTGCCAATATGCTTTTCCAAACTGAATGATGGTGGTATATTCTAGGACTTCTGTAGTTGTTGGCCATGTATACTTCCTCAACATTGAACACTAGTTTGGTAACTTGGCAACCCACTGTTACCCACTACTTACTCTGCTACTGAACTTTCATATTGTTACCTGGTTAAGTATTATCATTTCAATAAACCACTTTAATTTAAACACTTTGTTTAAAGGTTTGAGTAGAACCAGTACTGTTATAAGTTGCAATGCATAAATTGGCAAGACCAAAGCAGTACAACACTAACTAAAAGACTACCATTACAATATTATCAATTTTTAAGAAGTTCTCCTTTAATCATCAGATGTGATATTGTGTATTAAATTTTTTAAGAAAATGATAGACAACTACTTAGAGAAATGGATATTAATCACTAAAAAATAATTAGTATAAATAAACACATAGATTGTTATAAAAAAAAACTAAATTAGTTCATTTTTTCACATTATTTTAAATAAATCTTTAATAGACATTTTTTCATCTTTTCCATATTTTAGTTCGTCAAATTCTGGTTTCACTATTCATGGTGATGGGAACCATAATAATGAGGCGGGTGTTTAATCCACTAAAATATGAACATATAAAATGTTAAAGAAAGACATTATATTTGACTTATTTATACTTCCATACTTTTTTAAGGATATTTTCAAGAGAATCTCCTTCCTCTTCAGTGTCTTTAAAGGCTTCAATTTCTGGTTCTTCCTTTTTATGCTGATGGGATCCATAGTAATGAGGAGGGTGCTTAATCCACTAAAATACAGAATTATAAAGTGTTTAAGAAAGAAATTATATTCGGCTTATTTATACTTCCATACTTTTTTTAGGATATTTTCAAGAGAATCTCCTTCATTGCTATTTTCTATCTGTAATGGAGCTGAGTTAGCAAATACCAGAAAGTAACAGAGTAAATCTAATTTAAATTTCATTTTTGCAAAGGAAGACTTTTGCTCTTTATCTAAAGAATGAAACTGTTCAACTTGTAGTTGAGTATACAGTACCAGCGGTAAGTCACTGTTACACCTCAAAAAAATAATATTTTCTTGATTTTTTCTCTTTCTGTACTTAAAGAATGAAAATGAAGGATATTATTATATTTAGTAATATTCTTCTTATCATTATAGAGAGAAAATATACGTTTTTCATTTCAAATCTCTGAATTATTGATATTTTAATGTGGTAGGCCTATTTATGGAAAAGCACAAGCATCAGTTATGTTCAAAAAATTTACCCTGATCATTGAGTAGTGTCACTTTTAACCAGATTTTAAGGTCATTTATGTGTTTGCACATGTGTAATCCGGTACTGTATATAGTTATCGTTTTTTAATAGTTTTTTGAATTTTTAACATTTAAAAACAGTTTAAAAATAATTGTAGTAGAAAGTTATTAAAACTGGTTTTTCAAAGATTTGTCTATTCATAGACATTTAACAAAGAGAAAACACAACATGTATGTATTTATGTGTTGAAATATATAAGTGATATAACATTATACTGATAACTTTTTTACTGTTAATATATTCCAAGTTTTTTCATAGAAAATTCACTAAAAAGGCTAATGTCACTGATTCTCTTTGAACATGTAGGATAAAATATTCTTTGAAAGTCAAAGCAAACATTTCTTTTAAGAGGAAATCTATACTATTTTAAACACATTTTATTCGATATTTGAATTGATATTATTAAGACTGCAGGTAACTATTGAAAGTGTGTATTATGTGGCAAGGTCATTGCCCTGATTTTCAGTTTATCAAGGTAAATTTTTCTTTAAAAATATGTCCTAGAAATTTTTAAATTATTATCTGTAAACATATATTAAGATTAAAATATGACTGAAGAAGAAAATGTTGCCTATTATATTTTACAGAATAAAAGAATTAATTTACAACTAAGAACTAAAAGAATCATATTGACAGACACATTTATGAAAGACAATAGTTCTGAAACTAAGCTAATCATAAGGATACAATAAATTATTTTCTTGGTATCAAATAATTCTGGATAAGCCTAGTTGTTAGACTAAGACTAAATATCAGTTTTAAATTGGGCTGAAAGTTATAGAGGTCAGACAAAGGGCACTCTTTCTAAAATAATGGCAAATTTTGAAAGGTACTAAAAGTCTACCATTCATATTTAAGCAGATTGTTTACTTACTGCTTTCAGGGAATCTTTTTATACTGTGAAAAAGCCAGTATTCTGTTTTAGATTGCACATTTTCAAGGGAGAAAAATGCAACTTTTTGCAATCATTTATAATTTGGGAAATAATAGTTTGCTCATATCAAGTGTTTGTTTTAGATCTATTTGGTTATAAATATTTAAAATTTGTCTAAATCTATGGAGAAAACATATTGTAAAAATTTTCATGAATAGATTTTTTATTTTTATATTGTAATACTTGTGTTAATTATATCAATTTCTAAATATGTATTGTACAACTTTCGTTCTATTTTATTGTTATACTATTATCTATAACTTACTTAAAACCTACTTGAGGGAATACAATAACATATGGCCTAACACAGACATTGGTTTGTCATACTTAAGGTTCAGCATTCAAAGTTTGTATTATTTTATGCCTTTATAATGTCAACAAATCAAATAATTCAGATCCAGCATCAAATTCAACATTATGTTTGAGTTGTTTTCAAATCTCAAGAAGAAATTGTATTGTAATAGTGAAAAAAATAGATGAAGAAAAAGAAAAAGACAAAAGTGAATACATAAGGGAGTTGAGATTGTCATTTTCTTTTAATAGCATGGAGAGCTTTGCTGACTGTTCAATTGAAGTTCAAAATGTTATGAATGATGAAGATATTATGCTCAGCAATGAAATTGAAATAAATACTGACTGATGATGAAATCTCTGATATGCAGGAAGAGTCTTTTGAAAGTGCTTTTGATATTGATCAAACCAAAAGTGATACAAACAAATGTCATTTTAAAATTTTACCAAAAGAAAGTTAGAAAGGAAAAGACCTTCTCATCTATAATGGCTATACATTCAATGTTCTGCTACTGTCATCCAAAAAGAAAAAAATTTCCATTGTGGAAGAAAAGAATACAATCACTCACCCATGAAAAATGCTAAACAGCAGATTGTAATCAGAAATAATATTAAGGAGAAATCTGCTAATGATATCAAATCATCAAGTAAAAGAATTGCTGAGGAAATTCATTTGCAACATTCAGATGGAAAATGTAGTTTGCACAATTGCAAAGAAGTAGCCAACTACAACAGGTGAGAAAATAGGACAGCTGAACCTAATGGATTAAACTTTCAGCTTGATTTAACTTTTTTGCGATTTGAATTTTTGAAGAAAGATATTTATTCAAGGAATGAAAGAATATTAGTTTTTTCAAGTGATCATCAGTTAAAACTCTTGTCTAAAGTAAAAATATTGAACATGAACCATACTTTCACAATTGCAAAAGCTCCAATTTTTCAAATGTTTTCAATACATAATTTTTTAAAAAAAATGGAGAGTTGAAGCAAGTGCCATTGCTTTTTTTGAATTACAGAGAAAACGTCCACTATTTGGAGAAAACATGCTCTGTAGAAAATACCCAATGGAGAAAATGTTGATTATGTACATAAGATGTTGAAAAAAGGTTATTAAAATTTCAATTTGTGAATATTTGTTATTGGATATGGAATTTAAATATGTCTTAGAAATATTATTGTTATATGGAAGTTAAGATTTATATTTTGTGGTGTATTCAATACATTCCTAAAATACCACCATTTTTGGTAGCCATTTTGAAATCCAGACAGGAAACAGTTCTAGGATGTTGTATTTTTTTCATGGAAAGTGAGCATTGTGTACATTTATTCATTTTACAATTGTCAAATCCAAGTGTTTTTAAATATTCTTTAGATTTTTCAAGCAATTTGAATACTTGAACAAGTTGGATATTTTGATTTCCACCTAGAAATATTTTCTCCATTTTTCAGCATTTATCTAATAATTTATTAAGTGATTATTGATATTATCGCTCAGTGAACAATTCTCCAAATCTAGAACTTGTAAAGTTTGATATAATTTTTCAAGTCCTTTAAGAATTTCTATTAAACCATCTCTCCCATATTAGAACTATCCTTTAAGCAGATACTATCAATTTGATGACACTTTTGAAGTAACTTCTCAAGACACCTACTCATATTTTCATCTTCAAGATCTAATTCTGTTACTCTAGCAGATAGGACTTTGCTGTTACTTCAGCTGATTAGTTGATCTTATCATTCATAGCATTATGTACTTTTCACTCACCACCCTTTGCTCCCAACTTTTTCTCTTTTAATTGCGTAACCTCCCGTTTCCTAGCAACAGTTTTTGCCCTTCATTGGTGGTTATTTGGAAGACACTGAGACTCAGTCCCAACATTACTATACCATTTTTCAAAAAGGTCGAATCACTGATAAGAACTGTGAGAGAACGCCTACGAATGCTAGCTAAAAAAGAGCTTAAGGTTAACTTGCTGTTCGTCACATGACCAACAAGGTAGGTCACTGACTTGTGGAGTAGTTTTAGAAAGATAATTGTTGATAATTTCAACTTTATATCTACTCAAAAAGATAGATACATATTTTTTTTGATAAGTTGAAAGTAGAGAGAGGAAGAAAGAAGAAGGCAGAAATGGCATAAGCTATTTAGCTTTCAGTGATTTCATAATTATTCTCTCTCTCTCTCTCTCTTCCTTTCAATAAAAACTATAATTTCAATATTGAAATGTGACTATTGCACTTTGTCAACTCTTCAATATAGCTATTCTATTATTAGTAGTCACAAAATCTATATAGAAACACTTAATCTTCTATTGTCATCATCATTGTTTTTGTATTGGAAATCAACAAAGAGGAAAATGTCAAGTATGGACTAATTTTGAGATACTGCACTTGTACAGATGATTGTAACGGAAGCATCGCTGTCAACGCAGCCATAATTTTCCCAATGAATTTTATCATTCACTTTCAAATTCAATAGAGTAGATCTTGTGAAATGTTTGTTTTCGTCAATCATACTTTGTTTGGCTGAAACTGCAACCATTTGTTTGTTCAAGAACATTCTTACATCTACCTTAGAAGTACGATATTTCGATAGTGTAAATTCAATGTAATAGATTCCCTGCTTTTTGATGTTGTACTCGTGTAATTTCGAATTCCATGATCTCTGTGAATCGTAGATAGCCGATTTCAAATTGATACGCCTAAACTCTCTACATGTGCTGTCCGTTGATACTGCTTGAAAGTATGGTAGATTTTCATTCAATCTAAATGCAGCCATATAACTTTCTATTCGTCGTCCTGATAGGATTGGACTGATAGTACTAAAAGGTCTATGCGCTTCTGCTCTCAATACATCGCCAGCTGTCAATCGAGTGAGAACACTTCTGGAAAACGTATCGCTTAAACCACGTGATGTAATTGCTCCTTTCAACTCGAGTGGTGTTTGAAAAACGTTGTAATTTCTATCCACATTGATTGATATACCCGCCTTGTATTGAGTGTTTGCGGTGGTATAGCCCAGTCTCATTCCCGCATTCAAGAAATATAAGCCACTTTTTGACGCTTTAAATTGTGACAATACACTATTTTCTTGAAATCCTTTCATTGCTGAAACAAAGGGCCATTGGACTGTTCCGTACTGTAGATTTCTGTGACTTCCGCAAAATAGATATTCATCCGATACATAGTGGAAACCAAGCCAAGACGTTTCTCTTCCATTCTCCGAACTGTACAGCATCGATGAAGTCATTTGTTTCATTACCGGCTTATATAGTTGGCTCAGAACGAAAAGTCCAGATCTCGATAACGTTTCCGCTCCTTCCGATCTCAAATCACCTCGCCGATATAGTCCAACGTTTTTACCTGTATTTTCTAGCATTACGTCAATTGACTTTTTTGCAGGACTGGTTGTTATCATAGAGAAGAAATACAATCCTGGTTTCTTAATGGAAACTCGATTTGTTTTGGGGTCGAACATTTCGTTTACATTCAAATCAACCGATGTCCAATTCATTACTCCTGGATAAACGTTCATTGTACTTTTTAGCGAAACCATAAAGGCTGGCTCTGCGCAAGGTCCATTATTGCAGGGTCTTTCTTCCAGAGACTTTCCCACGCAATCCTTTCCCCCATTCGCTTGAGGTGGACTGCTGCAATTTCGTACCCTTCCTTCAACGCCGTTACCGCAAGGAGCAGAGCATTTATTCCAGTTGGTCCATTGACTCCATTCTCCATGAACAGAGTCAGTTCCATCAGGAATTTTACCACAAATTACATTCTTACTACTTTCCAGTATACATAACGCTTTAAAAAGAGAAGATAAATAATGATGAATTTCAACATATATCGATGATAAAAGTTGTAATTAATTACCTATAATCAAGAGAATATGGCTCTTCATTCTTAAAGGGCGGCTGTAAACTTTCTGCCTCTTTTTTGAAAATTATCATACATTTTATAGCTTTGAAAATGTTGATTAATGACATTTTTTGTAATCTTTGAACATTTATATTGGCTGAATATTGTAATTAATCTGTACACTCCTTCTAGCCAATCATCTTAATCAGGTCAAAAGTGTCTATTTGCTAGATAAACAGATATTCCGACGTAGTTTTTTTCCCCCATCGCGTGTTCTAATTACAAATATAG